CGTTTGCTGCTGACAGCAGCAGCAGCGGTGTATCTCCAGCTGCAGCAGCAGCAACGGCAACAGCAGCAGCAGCAGCAGCAGCAGCAGCACGGTGTATGTACACCCGAACCCTTGTGGGTATATTTGGCCGCCTAGCAGAGCAGGCAGCGCAGCAGAGCTGGGGTCTTGCTGCTTCTCATCACTTTGGTGTTCGTGCTGCTGCTGCTGCTGCTGCTGCTGCTGCAGGTGCCCCTGCTGCTGCTGCTGCTGCTGGTGCTGCTGCTGCAGACACAGCAGCAACAAGGATGGGAGTTGCTGCTGCATGCAGCAGCAAAGACAGAAACGTGAGAACGCCTTGGTATGCTTTGCTGCTGCTGAAAGCAGCTCTGCTGCAGCGCCAAAAGAAGCAGAAGCAGCAGCAGCAGCAGCAGCAGCAGCAGCAACAGCAGCAGCTGGATTTCTCTCTTATCCCGCCGTGGCTGCTGCCATCTGCTGCTGCTGTGCTGCGCTGCAGCAGCTCTCCTGCTGCTCTGCTGCAGCAGCTGCATGCATTGTGTGCGTTGGAGTCTGCTCCTACGGAGCAGCAGCTGCAGCAGCAGCAGCAGCAAGCGCGTCAGCAAGCAGCAGCAGCAGCAAGGGACCGTCGGCTATCCCGCCGTAGTGAGCTGCTGCTGCAGCAGCAGCTGCAGCAGGTTAAGGTGTATAGACACGAGTGGTTGCTGCTGCTGCCGCTGCTGCCTTTCTGCTGCCCCTTTGAGGCCGCAGACTGTCTCCTTTCTGCTGCTGAGCGTGCTTCATTTGTCTCCTTTTCAGGTGCAGCAGCAGCAGCAGCTGCTGCTGCTGCTGCTGCTGCAGCAGACCAAGACGCAGCAGCAGCAGCAGCAGCTGCTGCTGCTGCTGCTAAAAACAACCCCAATACTATGCAACGAGCAGCACAGACCCTGGGGAGGTCAGCTGCATTTGCTGCTCTTGCTGCTGCTGCGCTGCAGCAGCAGCAGCAGCTGCGGCTAGGGAAAACAGCAGCAACAGCAGCAGCAGCAGCAGCTGATGCTGCAGCTGCTGCTGCTGCTGACACCACCTCTGCAGCAGAGCAGACCGATACTGCTTTCCTCCCATTGGCTGATACAGCCATACTCCAGCAGCAGCAGCAGCAGCAGCAGCAGCAGCAGCAACTGCTGCTGCAGGCAACACCCCATATACCTCTTCCGCTGCTGCATCTGCATCAGCAGCTACGCGTCCGGCAGCAGCTGCTGCAGCAGCTCAGCAGCAGCAACGGCCTGACAGCAGCACCACATGAGCCAGCATGCCCATCAGCAGCAGCAGCAGCAGCAGCTGCTGCTGCTGCTGCTGCTGCTGCAGCAACGTCGCGTTACGGGGATTGGCAAACAGCTTGGCTGCAGCAGCTCAACACAGTATTTGAAGCAGAGCTGCTACTGGAGACAGCACCAGCTGCTGCTGCTGCTGCTGCTGCTGCAGGTGCAGCAACAGCAGCAGATGCAACAGCAGCTGCAGCAACAGCAGCAGCAGACAGCAGCAGCAGCATATGCCCTGCTGTATTGGCTGCCCTTAACGACTTCTTCGACTGGCTAGCGCAGCCACAGCGGCAGCGACAGCAGCAGCAGCAGCAACAGCAGCAGCAGCAGCAGCAGCAGCAGCAGCAGCAGCAGCAAGACAGCAGGTACATATCGTACAGCAGCATTAGGGAGAAGCTGCTGCAGGCCGTCGATGGAGAGCCAGACGAAACTCTCTTCCTAGAGGACGCTATCCGCTGTCTCCGCAACAGCAGCAGCAGCAACAGCAGCAGCAGCAGCAGCAGCAGCAGCAGCAGCAGCAGCAGCAGCAGCAGCAACAGCAGCAGCAGCAGTAACAGCAACACCAGCATCAATAGGTGAGATGCTGGCTGCTCTTCTCGTGTCCTCTAGACCGACAACGAGCAGCTACAGCTTCTGCTGCAGCAGCTGCTGCAGCAGCTGCTGCAGCAGCAGCTGCTGCTGCTGCTGCTGCTGCTGCAGTTAGTACCATGATAGCCCAGCACCAACCTGCGGTGTATAGGCACCTCAGCAACAGCAACTTTGTTTGTGATGCAGCAAAAGACAAACATATTTCTTTCCTGCTGCAAGAGAGGGAATTCATGAGTTGCTGCTGCTGCTGCGGCTGCTGCTGCTGCTGCTACTGCTGCTGCTGCTGCTACTGCTGTTGCTGCTGCTCGTGCTGCTACTGCTGCTGCTGCTGCTGCTGCTGCTGTACGCATAAGGAAACTATATCCAAATATCCTCTCAGACGAGCAGCAAAGCCTACTGCAGCAGCAGCAGCAGCTGTTGCTCTTGCTGCTGCTGCTGCTGCTGCTGCTGCAGTATGGTTTCGAGGGTTTAGTTGCAGCTGCAGCTACGGCGACAGCAGCAGATGCATCCCAGGCAGCAGCAGCAGCAGCAGTCTGCTGCTGCTGCTGCAGTATGCTATGCTGCTGCTGCTGCAGTATGCTATGCTGCTGCTGCTGCTGCTGCTGCTGCTGCTGCTGCAGTATGCTGCTGCTGCTGCTGCTGCAGCAGTTTGCTGCTGCTGCGGTGCAGCTAGCAGGTGTGTGAGTGTGTAGAGACAGCAAAGGAGACACTTGCGTAGCTGGCTCAGCAGAAGATAAAAAAAAAGGAGACAAAAATAAAACAAAAGGAGAGAGAAAACAAAACAAAAAGAGACAAAAAATAAAAAAAAAATAAAAAAATAAAACTAGCTAGAAGGAATATCTATATCTGCTGTTCTCTGCAGCACACGGAAATACAAACGCAGTCTCTTTATCAGAGCCTTCGCCTCACTCAGGTCCTGCAGCAGCAGCAGCAGCAGCAGCAGCAGCAGCAGCAGGAGCAGCAGCAACAGCAGCAGCAGCAGCAGCAGCAGCAGCAAGAATAAATAAAAACAAAATGGCTGCATGCGGCAGGCGAGAGAGAGAGAAGCAAAATATAAGGAGACAGAAAGAGAGACAAAAGGAGACAAAAGGAGACAAAAGAAGAGACAAAAGAAGAGACAAAAAAAGAGACAAAAAAAGAGACAAAAGGAGACAGAAAGAGACAGAAGGAGAGAGACAGGGACAAAGGGAGACAGACAGAGAAGATAGAAACAAAAGGAGACAAAAAGAGACAAAAGGAGACAAAAGGAGACAAAAGGAGACACAAGGAGACAGATAAACAAAGACAAAAGAAGTAGAAAGAGAGACAGAGAGAAGAAGAAAGAAAAGACAAAGAAGACACACAATAAACAAAAACAAAAAAAAAAAAAAAATAAAAACAAAGACAAACAAACAAAAACAAACAAAAATAAAAAAGCGCAGACAAACGAAAAAAGACAAACAACAAAAACAAAATAAAAAAAAGGAGACAGAGCCAAGCAAGGATACACAAAAGACAAAAGACAAAGACAAAAGAAAAAAAACAAAAGACAAAGACAAAAGGAAAAAAACAAAAGACAAAGACA